GTATTTTTCTACGACATTGCCCCGCCTGGGGAGAAGAGAGGCGATGTTGTCGAATTTTTTTTTTACTTATATATATATATATATATATATATATATATATATATATATATATATATATATATATATATATATATATATATATATACCGAATGGTATACCAAACGGTATACTGCTCGGTATACAGTACTGTACCATACCGAGAGAATATCGAAACTTCGGTATGATACGATATTTCAATCCTTACTTAGAAGTATAGTGCATATCTCTGTTTTTACGAGTTTAGCAGATATACAACTTCTTAATTGCTAAATATACTCTAGGCAGTTAAATGGACAGGAAAATTGCTCGAAGTCTATACATTTCATTTTAAAAGCTTAAGCATGCTACAGGAAATGAAGTCAACATGAGCTGTAAAGTATAAGCCAACTTGACTTAAGTAGCTAATCAGTAAATATGCATAAAAGCTGTAGGACATTGAGCCCATCTTTCTATCAGTGACTAACCTTTCAAGCTCACAGATTACTGATATATCCTCACACAGCAAAGGAATTTTTTTTTCCACTGAAGCTGAATATGCTGGCCTTTCTACCGTGAAACTGGATGACTGGTCAAAATTATGCTCTGAATGGAACATATCAAAAAGAAAATTTGCAAGTTGCAGATTAAGAATAAAAGTAGGATTAGAATTTCCATGAACTGATGCATCCACTCGCAGTCCCTTGACTTGAGCTGTAAATTTCGGCCCCTAAAATGTTCATAGGACAAGTAATTTAAAATAATTAGAACCTTCCATCCAAATACGACAGTTTGAATGCAGGTAAGCATAATAGCAAAGGCACTAATCCAGTAATCCAGAATTCTGCAGAAAAATTGATGCTTTTGAAGAATAAATTTGTATCTTGAACTTCAATATTCTGGAATCGAGAAGTTTCAGAAGCACTATTATGTTAATACATGTTCAAAGAAATACAACTTGTCCTTGCAGTCCAGAAGTTTAAACTTAATTAGTACTTATGTAGCCATCTGTTAGAATACTAGTATACTCTAAAAGTATAATCTATGGCCACAGCATGGAATGCCATCTCGCCTGAACCGATACGAAACGAGCATTACCGATCCCAGCATAAACTGGTACATGGACCACCCCCGTTTTGAGCAGTTCCATTGGGCCAATAAAAAACAGTAAAAAAATGATTTAACAGGTTTAAGCGATTGGTGCTGCCCATCACCCACCATCGATTTTGGGTACGTTTCCTCCTTTTCCCCTCCTCTTCTTCCTCCTTATCTTCCTCCTCCACCTCCTCGCCCTCTTCTTCCTCTTCTTCATTCCTCTTCCTCTTTCTTCCTCCTCTTCCTCCACCACCTCCTCATCCTCCATTGCTTCGTGTTCGTCCTTCCTCTTGCTCCTTCTTCCTCCTCCTCTTCCTCCATTGCCTCCTTTTCTTCCTTCCTTTTCCTCCTCCTTCCTCCTCATTCTTACTCTTCCTCCTTCCTCCTTTCCTCCTCTTCCTTTTCCTCCACTGCATCCTCTTCTTCCTTTCTCTTCCTTCCTCATTCTTCTTTCTCCTTCATCCTCTTTCTCTACTGCCTCCTCTTCCTTCCTCTTCCTCTTTGTATCTCCTCCTTCCTCCTCTTCCTCCACTGTCATATGTTTCTTTGGTATGTAACGGTGTACTATTCTGAGTCCTTTAATACAGATTTTTCTAGCTAAGTGTCTATGATTATGTATATTTGTCATTTCAAATTTCAATACTTCATCAAATCAGAAGAATAGCATTTTCTTACCCTTTTGTTACAAAGGAGACAAAATCTAGAATTGTGGATGTGATTTTAGCTAAAATTTAAAAATTCCAATAGGAAGGCGTCGAGTATCAGTGGTGCAAGGAGAGGTATAACAATATGCTAGAAACCTTAAATATAGATTCAAGAACTCATGATTTAACTAAGGATATTGGTTTCTACATAGTTGGGACTTACGGTCTTGTTATTGTTGTTGTATTGTTATATATTGGTTTCTACAATGCTAAATGGCGGAAAAATTATATATAGATAAATCCATATAGTTGGAACAATACGGTTTGTTTTTGTCGTTTGGCAGCTATATATGAAATCCAGGGTACATATATCAAGTTATGTAGACCTTTAGGAACCACACTTTAGGGTACATATATTAACTTTAGGTTTCTAGTGAATTGGGTTTCTATGCTTGATTTTGGATTGAACGATCCGAGAGCATTAGGGTAAGGATTTCAAAGTACTGTCAATTATTCTAAACTAGATACCAGCCCTTTAACCATCTTGCTATGCGACACCTAGAAAGCCAGATTCTCATGCGGGGGAAGTTAGAAGGGAAGAAAACAGGTCTACAGCTTTTTCCTTCCCGTGGAACACTTCAAGATAGAGGATTTTTCTTTTCCTTTTGTTTTCTCACTGCTGTTAGCACACCGCAACATGCAAAGTGTTAGCACAACTCAGGATGTGCCACTCCATCAGCCAACACAGACAAGGTGCCAATGCAATTCAAAACCAGTGTCATAAATTCATGGAAATCAGCATGTGCTAACATGAATCAAAATATATTGTGCCAAAAGAGTGCTGGCACATGCCATGCCAACCTGTGTCAAGGTGCCAACATATCAAAAGGCCAATTTTTATCTGAGAGAACGCTGACATAATATGAAATTGAATCAGTAAGGTATTAACACACACCTCATACCACAAATGACAATCAATGTTTAAGACCTTGTTTCCAGCTGGGACTGTAGATGCAACAAAAAATATCCACCATGGATTATTAAATAGATTATTAGTTTCTTATAATTTGCAATTGTTATGTATGTGGGTGGTTGATCAAAGCATGAGTAGCTGTTCTTACTTAAAGCATCCACAAACATCCTAGGAACTAAAAGCTAAAGAGGATACTCATATTAGCAAAGGATGCAATATATAGAGGATATGTGCACTCCTGTGCAGTGACATAAGAATTAGAGTTCTGATTCAGCAGGAAAAAATTTAAAAAAAAACAAAAATTGACCTATTACTATTATTAACAACATCCCAAATGTCTACATATTAAATAGTTTTTAATATTTTATTATCTGTGAGTACATTATAGGTACCTAGCTTTGGGTCTTTTTACCATCTTTTGGTAAAATTAGAAACTTGAAATTGGATCCATAGTTCGCCTTACCAATCCATACCGGCATACCAACTGGTCATCAGTATAGTACATACCGAACCATACCAATATACCAACACACGGTACGATGAGATATACAGACAAACCGATATGTACCACTCGTAACAGTCCCTTATTGGATTGGTACATATCACCCATACTGAATAGTAAGCTGTGGTATGACGAACCTTAATTGGATCCATTACAAATCACATAAATTTTCTAGTCTTAAAGTTACAAATTGAATTTAGTCTTCAACTGGAAGTCTTAATTGGAAATGTATGCTTATGTGATAAAGGATTTCAAGCACTGAACAATAATTATTGCTTTTGAGGGAAAAAAAAAAGTATTCCACCATATTGAGTAAGTTGCATTTGTGCAAGAAAATTATTAAGATTTAAAGTTCCCTAATAATAAAGAAGATATCAATTTTTTACTTAATTAAAGCTGATGACTTGAAACATGAGTTGAAATGAACGATAAACATCCTTCCTCTACATTTATTTTGATCCTTGGATACTAAATAGTTTACCAAATTGGATAATTTATGTGAGAACAATACTAATATTGAAAAACCTTCGTTTGTGGTGTGCAAATGACATGTATTAACAAGATTCTTTTGAGCAATGTCCTCAGAGGGTAAAAGAATGAACATAAGACTCTGGAAAAAGCCCTTCCTTTCATCTCAAAATCATTTTCTAAAGACTGCAAAAAGTTGAAATAAGCATAAGAGATAATTAGAAATTTTGGAGCAACAAATATCCAAGAAGATGAAAGAGGAAATTTTGTCAAGGTCCTAGGCAGACTGCTTTTAAAGAACACCTAATAGCAGAAACTTTGACTTCTGGTAACCACTAGAAGTTTGGCTTTGTTTTGCTCCTTGCTTAAAATGGGGTGCAACTTTGGCTCCTGGCAAAAGTTCTTAAGTGTATTTGAGAATTGAGAAGCATACACTGCTTACAGAAGGAATAATGATAATGAATATTCTTCTGTGTAAGCATCTTACTTTATACAATTTTTTAATAAGTATCAGCCTCTCAGGAACTGAAGTTATAAAAAAGCTGGACAGACCAATTTTACCAAGCTGAAGTTACAAAAAAAGGTTTTCTATTTTTATAACAGAAAGGTAAATACATAGAAATTTACCAAGAAAACCATTTACAAGCCACACCAAGGTAAGAATTCTGAAGTCAATTGACACTTTATAGAATCCCTTTATGCTTTGTTCTAACTACTAAGTACCAGACAGACTGTTATGCACTGCCTAGTATTTGCCAGTCCAACTAGGAACCAGTAATGATACATTCAGTTCAGCACCACTTGGCTTTATTTTATTATTATTTTTTTCAATCATACCAGAAAATATAGTCAGTATACCATTCCATATATCAGTATCATTACCAATCAGAGAAGTTGAAACTGGTATAGGACTAGTGTTAAAACCTTGATTCTACATTTGCTAAAAAATATAGACTGAAAGTAACTTTAATGAGTAAATTCTATTGTTAATGCTAGCTTAATAAATTGTGAAACATGGCAGCTCAAAGGGTAAATCTATTCATTGAAAAATATACTAGCAGTATGATGACTATAGGAACAAAATGTGACACTATTATAAACACATACCTTGACATTTACTTCAGTTACAGACAGTGACAGAAGTCTTGCAATGTGAGATAATAATACCCATGTTCCTCTTCCTAGTTTTCGTGAACTTCGAGGTTTATTGACTTTATTCTTCTTAATGCTTTGTGAAGAAGTCCTTAAATAAACTTCCAGATCAGATATAAATAGTTGCACTTTCTGGTCCCCTGAGAAAATGTTGAATCCCTTGTCAAGTGATTCACGTAGACTAAGTTTGATCTCACCAATCAATATGGATTCAATGGCACCCTGAAAATTATTGAAGATCATCTTCAGCATTCTAATGTGCACAAGATGAGCAAAAGGTATTAAACCACAACGAAAAAAACATAGCTGGCAATGCTGATCACAAAGGCGCAACTGCATTGTAGTAAGTCAACAAGATATTGATGTTCTTTTATAAAATTTTGGCTAAATTAACTGAGCAAAGAACAATTGTGTTAATGGAAATATGATTCAAAAAGTTAACCTTGAACAAAAGTAGTTAGGATTCTGTATATTGGTCTTAGAGCATGTGAATATAAAAAAAGCTTAGTTTCCTTGAATCAAAAGAAAATAAAGCTTAATCTACTCAAAACGAAAGAACCTAAAGCTTAATCTACATAAACTACTTCACTGGATTTTATAATTATTTCAACAGTGTTTACTGTCCCACGTTTCGGCATTTAAAGAGTCAGGTCGAGAAGTTGATAATCTGGCACAATATAGCTAAACAACGAAATATGTACTTCTACGGCAATTGCAAGTGACTAGTTGACCAGTAAATCTCTGATACCATACAAAATACTTGTGTAAAGAGTCCAAACAAAACATTTCTGTGACAGAAGCCAGTAGAAATTATACAAGAAAAAAGATTTGACCCCAAGCATTGTGTTAATGATACAGTTGATATGTGTATGGATGAAACTTCATTCTTTACTATAAAGTATAAACTAACATATGCAAAGTTGAGAATCAAAATTCTTAAATTCCTAAGAGTTAGATGGATGTACTACCAGAGTTCCAGTAATTTGGCCTTAAGCATTTTGGATTAGTGATTTAGGCAAAATATGTTAATGGGTCATTTATTCTAGCAGGCAAGGTTGTGACTTTCTCTCTCTCCTCTCTGAACTTTTTATGTACGTGCATGTTTTTTGGAAGAAACTTGATACTTTACCATAAACTGACATATCCAATGTTGAGAATGAAAATTCTCAAATTCCTAAGTACTTATTCAAAATCATATCTTTGGTAAGGAAATGAGCTTACAAAATCAAAAGGCATAGTACAAATTCTAAATTGAACAACCAAGCAAAAAAGAAATTCACATAAAGTAAAATTAAAAAACAAGTATATCAATCTTAAATAAGATAAGTCCGAAGCAGTGGAAGCATCACTCATAGAGACACTTTTTTGTATTCATATGTACTACAAACAAAAACCCAAGATGGATGTAAACCTTACTAACAGTAAATTTAATGATCCAAAGAAGAAAATAAAGCTTTAACCCAAATGGATGAAAAGATAAAATGCATAATTCAAAAGAAATCTAGGATCATGAGAATTCTAAGATCTTTAACAAAACTTATGAAATAACTGACTAGCACTTAGGATCTCCATATGCATCTTAACTCAGTTTGTTTGTAGTTTTGTTAATCTAGTTTGGTTTATGCATGAGTAGTTTCTTTGGTTTTATAAAATAAATTCTGGGAACAAAACAATTTCCATAATTTCAGCCTTTTAGATTACTTGATTTGGATTGTCATACCAATTTAGGAATTAAATCTTAAGTTCTGACCTCATATCATTCTCCACTTGGACCAATATACCAACAGAAAATATAAAAAATAGCTCAACTCAGTATATTTCGATACGATGCAGTATGTCACAAGCAGTCAAACCAATTTAGCACAGTCACATTCTTCATTCCTTGAATCCATGGTACAACCATATCAACAAAACAAAGTGTCTTATACCTATCTGCCCTGATATCAGCATGGGATAGTTTGTCATGATAGGTTCAGTTACCATGCTGAACACATGCCAATACACCATTGTGCAGTGGCCCAAGCCAAACTGTGCTAACTAGTACAATAACAACATACAAAATGGTGATCATTAAATTTCAAATAAGGCCTTATTTGCTTTAGTTCCTTTTTACTAACATTTCTTCTATTCTCAATTTAATAGTACTCATAAAGAAGTCTATCTGATTTAATTGCCATCAAAATGTTAAATTCCTAGGAAGAAAAAGCCAATGTCTCATTCTAGCCATGCTACCAGTCCTGCTGCTAGGCTAGAACAAAACCTACCAATATGTCAAGACTCAAAATCTAAAGATTTGCCCAAAAATCAACAAATCTGAAAAACAAGAAAAATAATCTTGTAGTTACTTTTCGACATCTTGGCCATGTTTCATCAAAAATTAAAATAATATTTCTCTCAGAAATGAAATTTATATGTGTTTGTATTTGACATAGGCTAATAACTGTTACATACTAAAATTCCTTTTTTAAATAAAAAAAGTGACCTTTTTGAAAGTAACAAAGACTTCATTTATACGATTGCATCCAGTGACTTGGAAACCAATGGAAATACCAACCATCCGGTTCAAAATCCATCCCAACAACCTGGCAGCAAATCTGCAATAATAAACACAGAAGAAGATGTTACAATAATAAGAGCACTACTTCAGGCAAATTTATAGAAAGAACAACGCTGACAATAGCAAATTAACTAAGCCTAGAAATCAAGATGCGATCTAGGTTTAGCCCTCATAATAATAAGTCATAGATGTACACATTTCTAATTGTATGTTATAAACCTATAATACATTCTTCTCATTGTACCCATGAATACATAGGATTGGCCCCCACTGATAATCAAAGCGATACTACCATGTCGTCAATCGCATGTAAGAGGTAAGATCCTCTCATTTTAGTAGATTGTGCTTGCTGCTTAGATACTAAAAATTGCAATATATCACCAAGCAAGCTTTATACAAGAAGTAAGCCTCTCCTCCAAATGAGAATCCTTATGAGGTCTCTTCACATGCATGCGGTATGGATAATTTAATCTAGGTGAGTCATTCATTCAGATTTTCTCTAACAAAAATGCTACAATCAGAAATAGGCTGATGCACATCGTCTGGAAGGTCATAGAACTTTCAATTGAGGAGCTGATGTAATCAGTGAAGCTTCTAAAGGCAGTTCTTAATTATCTAGCACTGGAAAAATTTGCCACAGTTCTAGTTTAGCAATGGCAAGACCGTGTTATGGTCGGATATGGAATCCAAAGTTGCCACATTAAAACAAGTGTTCAAACCATTTATCTAGCATCACTAATAATTTTCTAAAATTCCATATACGTGGTTCTAAAGGTTTATCATCTGTTAGACCTTTCTGCTATAAATCCATATCTCAGAATGACTGTTCAGTTACCCAGTTTGACTCACATAAGGTAGCATTCAAGGAAAGTAAATAGGTTAGAGCAAGAGATTGTTTAAGGCAAACTAGAATTAAACACCATTACAAGTTTGCAAATTCTTAGTCCATATCAAAGACAGGCTCCTTGTAGTTTTTTTTTTTTTTTTTTTTGACAATCATCAAGTATAAAAGAGGAGGTTGAGAACTGAAGAACAAGAACATCAGACACAAAAATTTCGCCCACCAAGTATGTAAGTGCAACAAAAGCGGAACTAGTAGATCCGTGGCACTTACACGAACACGACCCATCCGACGGCGCAACAAATCAAGAGACCGATCAAGAACTTGATCAGGAATAACACCATCGTTCTTCCAGCTGTGCCCTCTACCACTATCTTGCCGAGAACGTCACCGACCTCCCTCCCTCCCTCCCTCCCTCCCTCCCTCCCTTAGGTGGCGCTTCGTGAACCCCAAATGCACATCAAACGGGCGCAAGAATCCGTCTTTCTCATTTTAAAGACGAAGGGTAGCGTTCCTGTCCCGGAGAAGGGTCCGCGATCCGATTCGGGAGGCGGAGCGGTCGGAGAGGGATGGCTAGCAGGTGATGTTGCCGAGACGTGCGCGAGGAGCGCAGAGAAAGAAACGAGGAAGTGGTTCCTATAAATTTAATATAGGAAAATATTTGTTCCTATAAATTTAATATAAATCCAAATCTTAATATCTTTTGCATATATTCTTTTTTTTTATATGCATCCATAATAATTAAATAATACTATCAATCAAAAATCTAAATCTTGATTTTATATTGTTTTGACATTATTACCAACATTTATCATTATCTATCATTTAAAAAAACAATAAAATTCAGCATTATTGCCATTGCCGTTTGAAACCACGTCACTCGTGAACAATTTCTGGGGTGGTTCGGCCACTCTACACGAATTCAGGGATAGGGCCTGTGGGCCAAACCGCCGTTGCAGTTTGGACGTGCCAAGTTGAGGAGACCTCCAAGAACATACCAAAAACGGCACTCGTTGCTCGACCGAACCATTTCCTCATTTCTTTCTCTGCGCTCTTCCCACGCCCCGTCAATGATCTCCGTCCGAATCGGGCTTCCATGCCACCTCCAATGAAGAAGATATTTTTACCATATTAACCTTTGTTGTCTCGACAACATCACCTGCTAGCCATCCCTCTCCGACCGCTCCGCCTCCCGAATCCTCAAGACATCCAACTTCGTGTTTGGAAGGAAATTGAAGACTCATGATGAGAGTTTGATGATTGTTGTGGCAAAAACTGTGTGATAATAAATGATCATGCCATTCTAGTGTTCTTATGTAATAATATAACTATTTAGTTGTGCCAAAATCATCATATATGTCTCTAATCAATCTCTTCATCAATTTCATTGTTTCTTATCCACAATGTTGATATCCTGCTCACAATCTCCCCTTCATCAATCAGTGAAGATCACATATTCAATTAAAATATATTTTCTTTTACATAATCCAGAAGGATCAACCACTCGCATCATATGATCTGCAAATCCACATGAATACATGTATCACGATGATCAAAATAATCACCATGTTTGAAGCAAAATTCACAAGAGTTCCGGAGAATATTTTCCATTTTCCAAGCAGCAATCAACTAGATGATATTTTTGTTTAGCTTGTAGCATCATTATTTGTCTCAAGAAGCTTGTAAGAGCATCATTCAGCCACTGCCGACATCCCAATTCCCTTCTTGTCCAGAGTTTGACAGGTAGAGAGACATGGTTATAGGATCAACTACAAATCTGTCACTTTGTGTATGAGCTGATAATAAAGTTTCAGGTAGTATATTTCCTCTTCCACTGCTGCTGACAACACTGGGAAAGGCTCCTACGGTCAGCATCCCATGGTCTTCCACGGTCTGACCTTGCAGCATGTTTCCATCAGTTCCACCTGAGCTACTCTCCATCTGACCGAGCAATGGTGCTTCTTCCATATGTTGGGTTTCGGAAATCTGGTCATGTGGCATTTCTGGTTGGGCTGACTGGGGTTGGGGTATCTGATCATGCAGCATTATGGGTTGACCTAATCGGGGTTGTGATATTTGATCATGTAGCATTATTGGTTGAGCTAATTGGGATTGGTATATATGGCCATGTAGCAGTGTTGTCTGGGTCATATGGGGTTGAGATATCTGATCTTGAAGCATTACCTGTTGTGCCAGTTGAGATTTGTATATCTGATCATGCAACATTATGGCTTGGAAAACTGTCGAGAATTGAGAATTCATCTGTTGAGCTTGCTCACTCTGCATGAACTGAGCATCTTGTTGCATGGTAGTACTGGGAGGATATTGTGGAGCTTGCTGGGGTTGGATTAACTGAAAGATCGGTTGCCAGACGCCATTGATGGGATACTGCTGAGCTTGCTGGGGTTGCACATATGCAGAGCCCGGTCGTACAAATCTATTGATAGGACACTGTTGGAGAAAAGCCATATAGAAACATGCTGTCAGAAAGCTTCTCTAGTCTTCTATAGCATAGAAACAATTTGATGACAAGAAAATTTACCATCCAACTATGATGTCACTTAGAAATCTGTTTTCTAAGTGAAACTAGATATGACTGCATAATTGTGTATCTATCACATATCTGTATCCATATGTGACTACAACTATTCAAAATCTTCCAGAGACAGGTATGGATATAGATTGAGTTCAAACATTTATTCAAATATCCAAATATCTTATTGAATTTTCCTATATTAATCATGAAAAGGTATCATTTGAATTAATTTTCTACGTAAAATGTCATCTTGCTCTACTTCTTTTGCTTCAAACGTTTGTTTTGAATGTTTCTAACCTGAAACATGTGATTGACATATTTGAATTAGTTTCTTAATCAGTCATTTTTTCTCACAGTATCCTAGATTCATATGATATTAACCACCTAAGATCTATTCTGAATCAATATCCATACTACATTTAGCTTCAGTTTGCGTATGTGTTAGACAAATAAAGTTTCAGGATATAGTATCAATTTGATATTCTTGTATCCAATATCTGTTCCAATCTATGTACAAGATTAATTGTGACTATCAATTACAGTGAAGCCAAGGAACCAATACATTCATCAAACCAACAAATTAAGAGCTAGGTTAGGACACAATCTGAGAACTTGTGAAACAAAGAAAGTGATGTTCATTGCATAATTCATACCTGAGCAGTGGTCGGCAATCGAAGTGGTTGACTATCTGCAAGATCGATGAGGAAAGCGAGATTTTCTTGAAATTTTTTAATATTTCTGCAACAGAGAATAAAAACAGAGAACATTTTAGATATTGACATCGAGAGTGCATTTCCAGTAAATTTGATACGGAAGCATACAAGTCTTCTGCAGGAGCACTAAAGTTCTTCCAAAATGCTGCACCCTCTAGTAAACGTATGTGATGAATGGTTTGCAAGGATACCAACAGAGCCAAACAATGGGAAGACCAAACTTACCGAATAGAATCCTCCAGATTCCCCGGATTCTGGCCATCGACTATCGCAATGATCAAGTGGTTGTTCTCATCCAGATACTGCAGCACAAGATGGCAAAGTTGGAGTCACGACAGACAGATCAAGAAAGCAGCATGCCTCTGAAACTAAAGAAGACAGACAGATACATGAATGTGGTCTGCAGCAGATACAAGATCTAGGTTGATTTATATTTTTGCAGAAACACGAACTAGCACAGAGGAAGAGGGATGCTAGGTTGATTTATACTGGCAGCCGAAGAGGCATCCCTCTCAGAGGACTTTTAGCGAACAGAATTACTTGTTCTCATCACTAGCAATTCAGATCATGTCTCTTGTAAGAACCACAAAGCAAATTATAAATGACTACACGAGATGAAGTAAGAAAATATGCAATTTGAAGCAAAGATGAGAGACGAGAAAGAACAAGAAAAGAGAAATCAGATTGGCCAAAATTTTAGTCGAGTAGATCGACAGAAAGTACAGAAGAATGCATGAAAGGTGGACCTGTTGGATGAGATCGGTGGTGGTGGTCGATGAAGCATATCGTAGAAGGGTTTGGCGTTGCATTGTATCACCAATTCTTGGGACCTTCACAGAATTCTTCTCCTTCCTTCCTTCCTTTTTATGTCATTCGATTCATCATAAACGAGGGAATTAACTTAGTAGTTAGTGTAGGGGTTATGACATGCTCTAAATCTATGACGACAAAAGATATTTAATGTATGATTAATGGTAATTTTCTCGTTTCTTGGATACGTCATTATTTTACTTTAAGATTCGTGCAATCACAAATGGATGATATGATGATCAGAGAATACAAAGTACAACAGATAAGACCTATAGAATGTATTCAATGTGGTCATGGCAGTGCAATGATGATAATTGAATTTTAAATGATTATGAATGTTTTCTTTGTAATTATTTGGAAACCAATAATTTCTAAAAATCATTAATGGTGGTTAATAATTGTTTTAACTTTTTTATTTCAGAAAAGAAAGTTGGCATTGGCATTTTGGGAAGAAATTGATATTTTTCATGCCAATTGACCATGCAAAAAGAGGTCTATTTATTTCCAAAAGAACATATCAGATTTAATTATTTGAAATACCCAAAAGATGGAATTACAAATTCTGATGAGATGAGCACCCTTTAGTCTTGCATATCATTAGGAAATTGAAGTATGAAATTTGATTCGCTCATATATTGATGAGATAGTATTTTCTATGACTAATTGTTTCATGTCATTTGCTTATGGATGCTAATTAAACCTCACTAGATCTTCTTAGTATTTCGATCCCTTAAAACATTTAGATTAGAATCCTTATAACAATGAAAGTAAAGCATCTAGCTCCTACTATAATGTTATCATTTTTACTAATAAAAATATAGAAATAATAGGTAAAAAATAATTGTAATATTTCAATTAATGATTACGGAGGACGTCGATGATGGTATATGAAAAACGTTAGTGGAGGCTGACGATAGCGCCACTATGGGCCATGGGTGATTGTTGTCGATAAGGAGAGCGACGACGAGAGGTAAAGTCGCTCTGTATCTACATCGAGGCCAACGTAGTTACCGAGTGGCCTTTTTATCGCTTTGTATTTATGTTGACGCTGATACAGATGTCGAGTAGTCATTTTATCGCTCAGCAACTACATTGACGTCGATATAGATGCAAAATGGCCCTCATATCTTGTTATTGTTCTTCTCGTCCATAATAGTCACCTATGGCCTCCAACGGTGTCATTGTCTGCCAACACCGACGTCGTCCATCATCACTAACTAAAATATTGAAATTATCTTTTTTTTCCTTTGTTTTCATACTTCTGTCCATAAAACCGATAGCATTAGGATAAATGAAACTAGATGTTTCACTTTCAG